GGGGGCGCGCCTCGCCTCCCCCCGCACTCCGGGCTGCTTCAGGCTCGCCCTCTCCCCACGCCCCCTGCCTGGGCTTCAGTTCCTATAGGAAGGGCATTACCATCCCATCCCCACCCACCCCGACACTTCGCTCTTTCCCCTCCCCCTCCTTTAACTTCCTCTTCCCTCGTTGGGCCCTCGGCTGCTCTGCACTCTCCGCCCGGGTTCGCAGATTTCCGCCCACCTTCCGCCTCCCAGAGCCGCGCCGCAGCGAGCGGGGTGTAATTTTTCCCTCCCTCTGGTAGGAGTTGGGGAAGGTGAGACTCATGAGGGAATACAAGGTAGTGGTGTTAGGGAGCGGAGGGGTTGGCAAATCTGCCCTGACTGTGCAGTTTGTCACTGGGACTTTCATTGAGAAATATGACCCCACCATTGAAGATTTCTACCGCAAAGAGATCGAAGTGGACTCTTCCCCCTCTGTGCTGGAAATTCTGGACACCGCAGGAACTGAGCAGTTTGCCTCCATGAGAGATCTCTACATCAAAAACGGCCAAGGTTTCATCCTGGTTTATAGTCTGGTTAATCAACAGTCTTTTCAGGTAACCAAACCAAGTCTTGTAATTTGTTAGAAGGGGGTGTGGTAATCCTACATTTACTTCTGGTTTGCTTGCACCGCGCGTAAATGACTGTGTTTTGCTTTTGAAAGTTAGACATGGCGCATTTTTGAGGTTACTCCTGGCACGGAAAAGTATCGAGTTGTTTCTGTAGAGAAGACTAAAGTCTCAACCGTCAACAAATGTTTTAACGTTATTTTTAAGTGAAAGAGAAGTGAAAAAGAAATGTCAGCTTGTGTATATTTAGCCTGGACTCTATAGCCTTCTGAAGTTGCTTGTTCAAGTCAACAAGTCCTGGTTAATGTACTCAACAAAACAACATTTAAAAGATAATCTCGGGCAAATAGAGCACTTCAGAAGGAAAATTATTTGGAGCCGATTATCTGTTGCACAGATAACTCCTCTGCGTCTGCTTCCCCCCTCCCCCTCTCTGTTCTCAGCCAAGTCTCTCAGCCAGATTTATAAATCTTAGGGCTGCAAGATGAAGAACTCAAGACCTGCCTTCTAGGCATTTTACTTACTTGGGGCGTGTGAAGGGAAGTTACTAATTGAAAAGACTAGTACTAGAATTAATAACGAACAAAAATCTAGAATGACTCTCGTTTTTTGCAGTTCATCCAAATCGTTTCTGATAACATTGACAATATTTATAGAAAATATGTGGAACTGGGAACACTGAACAAGTGCAGATTTCTAACCCCCAGTCGGTGGCTGAACTGGAGGTGGTCCAATTTCTTCAGAAAATCTGTCGTGTCCTTCACTGGAAGACAGACTGGAGGTTTAACATTATTTTAAGAGATGCAATAAATGTTGCTATTTATTCCTTGAAAATAAATAACCTCATATTGACCCGTTATATTGACCTCCATTGATTTAGGAAATGGATGTTTTTTTCTGCATTTAAAGGTATGCACTAATGTTGCTTACATAAGAGACATTAAGTGCTTTAGCCAAGCCAATGTGCTAATTCCACTTTTCTTAGTATTTTAACTTAAAGTACTATAGTGAGCTTTTCCAGTAACCAGATATAGCAACTTCAGGATTTTTTTTCTTTTAAAAATAATAAGTTGTGGGTAAATGAAACAACGTTACTGTGACCAAACTAAAGTTCATTTTATGTAGGCTTAAATTCCAAAGCATTACTATTATAAAAGCATTTTTCACCAGAAAGTACCAATGTGCTAAAGGTGCTATTTGACAGGCGTTTTCTTTCTAAAGGATCCTTGGGACATTTGTTATTCTATTAGCTGACTCTCTTGAGGCTGGCAGTCTTTTGAAGGGTTTTTCATAAGATATCCATTATAGCTACTTTTATACACATAAATAGAGAGTGGAAAACTGCCATTATTTCAATGGAGACTTAAACTCTTTTAAGCCCAAATGCCGTAAATTTGGATTCTCAGCTGAACTTGTGTTTCCCTAAGGACACAGAGAAAAGAAGCTTAACCTAGAAGACTGAATTGATATGTGATCAAACAAAATTGTTACAAATGTCAGATAACCGTATGTTTTTGTAAATTTTCAGTCCCTTGTTTTTCCTTCATCCTGCTAGTGAATACTGTGCACTGTAACTATTCAAATTAAACACGTGTTATATTTAAGTCAAATCTTTTAAGTTACAAAAAAATCCAAAAAACTAAGGTTAGTATTAAGTCTATAACATGTCTTAAATCAGTGCTACCCGCCCCCCCCCCAAAGTTCACCCTCCTAGAGAATTGTTAAGGCTCTTACCTTTTGTAATTAATTGTAATTACTTAGAAAAAGTAATACACGTGGGAGAAAATTCAAGTTGTAAACCCGAACATAGGCAAAGGAAAGTTTGACTTCTTTCCGCCCAGACTCCCCCCTGCGTTGTCCTTCCCAGGAGCTGCTCACTAGTGTACAGTAATTTCTAACATTGAAGTGTATTTTGAGGATAAAGGCAAACCGTTACATTTAAAATGAAACATTGAAGTGTGTGAATCTGTTGTTAACTTTGGTCTTCTAGACACAAAGCAGTGTTTTTGTTCCCACCTAAAACACTTTCTCTCAAGCGCTCTTGCTAAATGGCTAGGAATGCATAGATGCTGCCATCCTGTGCTAGGATAACAGGTGTTATCAGGAGTGATGACAAGCCGGCAGGTTTAAGGACATGGCCAGACACCCTTTTGTACAAATGGATTCATCATATTTGGGAATTTGCTTTTCAGATCAGTATCGACTGAGGGAAAGAAGTGATTAAATGAGTCCTAAAGTTAGTGTGCAACCTACCTTTTATATTCTTGACAGAAATCCAGCAGGTAGGGTCTGTGGAAATTATCTAGTTCCTACTTCAATGGAGAAAATGACATTTTCTCTATTTGGGTGTGTGGTTTTATTTTGGATTCAGCGTTCTCTACTTACTGAAGGATGACTTCTTGCAATATTGCAATATTTCTTTTATGGTTATGCAAATAGCATAATTTTTTTCCTTTCTCTTTGTGACTGTTTACATAGGATATCAAGCCAATGAGAGATCAGATTGTCAGAGTGAAGAGATATGAAAAAGTCCCACTGATCCTAGTAGGAAATAAAGTGGATCTGGAACCAGAAAGAGAGGTTATGTCTTCAGAAGGCAGAGCTCTGGCTCAAGAATGGGGCTGTCCTTTCATGGAGACATCGGCAAAGAGTAAATCAATGGTGGATGAACTTTTTGCCGAGATCGTCAGGCAAATGAACTATTCTTCCCTGCCCGAGAAGCAAGATCAGTGTTGTACAACTTGCGTTGTCCAGTAAAAAAAAGATAACCTCAATCATGGCCATACCGAGCAGGTTAGTTGTTGATGGAACCTTATGTTTTTGGTCAAATGGAAGAAAAAGCTGGGTAATACTAATAATACACATTGTGCTACCTTAAATTTCTTTATTTTGAAAATAATATTCCCCTTAGTGCAAAATAGTCAACATTCAATGTAGAAAATCGAAAAAAATACAGATTAGTAAAATGAAGGTAAGAAATTGCCTGTATTCCCATCACCAAGATTTGTTTTTTAAAGCGACTTACTGTGCTTCTCTCTCTGGTAACATTCCTTTGGGGTGGGGTAAGTTAAAGGATGATACACCTTTTCCCTGTTTTGGTGATGTAGCATCCAAAATGCATGGGAGAGCATCCAGTCATAATTTGAGAAGATGATTAGTTTTGTGTTTTCTATGCTTTTCTTTTCTGGGCTGGAGAGCTGCTGTAATTGAAATCATCAATTTACTAATCACCCAAGTGCTAGATTTACAGGATGATTATTTAATCAAGTTAATCTGTACCTTGCACAGGGACTTAAGTGACCTCTGATAATAATAAATTATAGTGCCACAAGGTACCTTGACTTCATTATGAATATATGGTCCAGATGAGAATCTGGTGAAATCATCTGTGATGTGTTTAGAACAGACAGTCCCAAGCCTAGGAAAATAATGTATTCAGTTTAATAAATAATGGAGTTAATAAGAACAATAGTAAAATCTTCAAACCTTTCATTGGGCTAAATAACTTAATAAAGGTTTTTTTAATGAATGTGTTTTTGGAAAAGTAAGGTTATATAAAATTTACTGAGCATTTAAAATGAGATTATTTTATTCATGTCATGATCTTTTAATCTAGATTGTAATTGGGCAGATAGTCTCACTTAGACGATAATACTTAGATTATAAGATAAGACAACAAATATCCTGGATGACTGAGAAACCACAGAAAATGCCAGACTAGCCTGACAATATCAGGAATGGAATTGATTGTTTTGAGCCAAGACTGACCTCAAGTCTAAGAGGCAGCGTTGCAAATGGCAACAGTCATTTCAGATCGCAGAGATGATTCCTAATCAGAGGTCTGGCTTTATATGTGCTCCCTGGAGAAAAGACTAACAGTCCCTAATTTATCTTTTCAGACAAGATCTTCTGTCAGCTGGTGTCATCTTTGAAAATGAAGGATGACAACAGTGCTTTATTCAAAATGCTTTCACTCATCAGTTTTTGAGCATACCAGAATGAGATGAAAACACATTTATTGTCTTATACCTAGCTCCATCTGTTATCATATAGTGTCACTGTGCAGACTGTAGCCCAGCATATGTTTCGTTGATAGCATCACACTTGCAATATGGTTTTTTGAGGCAGGAACAGGCCTATGTAGGTGATTGAGTCCAGGGTTCTTGATACCACAATGTCTCTTCTTAAATTGTAAGCCAGATTCAAGTTTGAGCAAGTTCTGTGTGGTGTCGCATCTTTACCATTATGCTGTACTTCTCTATCTGACACTTTTAACCAGGCAAATGACGTAAGTGTGTGCATTTTAGTTTTATCATCTTTATAAAAAATTAACCAGCTCCTGCAAAATGTTCCCAGTTTTTTTTCCGTCATTAATGTAGACAGCTATAGGAAGGAAACTGAATAAAATTGGTCTCACATGTAGAGGACCACTGTCTTATTCAAATTGGCAAATGAGTAATGTCTAAAGCTATTTTTAAAGATTTCTTATTCTGAGTTATTTCTGAGTTTATTTCATTTTGCAGCTTTTGTGATCTAAATTACTTTCAATCTGTTTGGTTACCTACACAAATGATCAAGTAGACTTTTTAATATCTCAAGGAAACTATGTTTATATTTTTTGTTAACTAAGGTACTGAAATCAGAAAATATTAATAACAATAACTGCTCATTTTTATAATAATGGGTTAAGTTGCCTGTGTAGTTTTTGTTTGTTTTTTATAAGCAGAATACACAATTGAAGGTGTGAGTCTTGAAATAAAATATCTAATCAGCTGGATTTCTGAAAATGTTATAGGGAGTCCCCTGACCAAGATCTTTTAGAACAAAGCACACTATATGCAGTGGGTTTTTTTGCTATCAAATAAAATTGAACTGATGTGCACAGGTATCTGTAATTGGAGGTCCATAAAGTTTGTGGTTGTGCTTGCTTACTATTTATTTGAAAAAATAGGTGATGGATTCTGAGTCCTGTAGCTTGAGTCATAGAGCTCTGAAGTCTACCAGTCCCAGATTTGGATTGAAGATCAAACTTTGACAAATAAAGGTGATTTTGGAAATGTTTCTCCTTAATATTTATAAGAGTACCTTGTCCAAATTAGAGATAGTAAGACTCAAGTGAGTCAGAAGAACTGTGATTGTTGTAAGTTGGTTTCTCTTAATTGAAAGGGAAAATATATTAATGTTCTAAGCATTACTGCTGATAATTCCTCACATTTATTTCTTACCACCCTTCAATTTGAGTCACCAGTCTGTTGCCCAACACCTGTTTATCTGCATGGCTCCCAGGATTGTTTCCTCACCTTTCACCCTCCCACTGGCAGTAATCTTACTGTAAGTCTGGAAGCAATGCCAGATTCCTTATGCACTGCTTTCGTGGCTGGTTTCCTTACTGACCTGAGGAGCCTGCCACCAACTGCTTTGAAGGACTTCATTTACTGTGCAGCAGAAGTATAATAGAAACCCAGGTCAGTGTTGCAGCCCTTTCTTGGTTTTATTAACTGTATCATCGTTCCCCTGTATTGGTGTAAATAGTTGACATTTGGCTGTTGTGAGATACTGTCGTTGAGAATGATGAGTGTTTTGTTTATAATCTCATAATACTATAAAAGAAGTAAATCACAGTGTTGTGGGGTTTCAGGGAAAGGAGAGACCACGTTCAGTTAGAGCAGGTTCTCAACATTCAGGACTCTTTGCTGTAGCGACCATCCTGTGCATTGTAGAATGTTTAGCAGCATCCCTAGCCTCTACCTACTAGATGCCAAGAGCATTCCCCCCGCCCCTCTGTTGTGGTGAACAGTAATATTTTCAGACATCGCCAGGTGTCTCCTGGGGGGCAAAATTGCCCCTGGTTAAGAACCACTGATTTAGAGGAACTAGGGAGCAGTAGCGTTTCAGTCAGGCCTTGAAGAATGGGTAGGATTTGAGTGGGTGGGGGGAGGAGTAGAGGTGGTTTCCAAACAGGGAATGCCAGAAAGAAAGAAAATAATATCCTAAAAATATTCTGTTAGGGAAGTACAGTAAAGTTATTCCTTAAATGTGATCATTTGGTAAATACTCTTTTGGCAAATAGAATTTTCTTAAAGATTATTTTTTCAAGGATTCCTGTATCTCAGTCCAGTATTGACAGAAATTAATATAATTATTTTTAAAAAAAAACAGGAATAAAAGAAGGTGTTCTTTACTACAGCTTGAAGGTCTCCTGCAGGATTTTATCCTATTTTTCTCCGTGTATTATGGACGGGTTCTCTCGACGAGAGTAAGTGGTGCATAAGAGTACCAAACACCGGGAATCAAACTGAAAGAACAAAGATCATTATTTATGTCAGCCTCAGTTCATTATATATGTCAGCCCGAAGAAAAAGGGAGATTCTTGATTCAAGACTAGTACATCATTTCACGTGGCGGCAGAATGCCCGGGATGTTAACAAAGGCTCCTGAAAGGCTGAACCATCTATGAATGTCATTTTAGTCTAGCTGGCCTTACTATTTCTAAACACAGTGGAATTGATTAGCATTTTCAGGTTTTTTAAAAATAAATAAATATGTGGGATCAGAATTGTTTCTTTTTTCCAGCTTTTAATTAGATATGATATGCCAGGGATTTAGCAGATGTGAGGGGGAAATCATGAAAATTAAATCACATTTTGTACTTTAAAATGCTGCCATTTTCATATCCAAGTTAAATATTAATCATATCAGTAAAACACTGGGGTGGAATTCTATTGTTGAAGTTACAGTTTAGATAGATACTTCCTTTTTTCCCCCCTGCCCTATCTTGCTTATCACTTTGGAGAAAATAGCTTACTTTAAATGCTCGTTTGTCATCCAGTTCACATAGTGAGCCAGAATGGAGCCTGTGACACAGCGGCCCTGAGTGGAGGAGAAAGCATTCCTTGGGGTAGTGTGTACCATATAGATCTGCAATGGACCTGGGGGAAAAGGGAAGAACAGAGTTGCCTTGTCCTTTCTGCCCACTAATTCTCCCAGACCTTCACTGACCCCCACAAGGTTCATGGTTTGGGACTGTTCAGGATGGATAAGGTGCCTAGTTAGACCTGCTCTGGGTGTGGAGGTGTCTGTGATTAGAATGACTCTTTGTATATCTATTCCCACTTTAACTGCTTCCTTTTAACCTCAAGATTAGGCTTTTATTGCAGAATAAAATGCATTTGAGCCATTCACTTTTACTCTGTTACCTCTCTAGCTTAGAATGAGCCATCAGTAGAATTAACAAAAATTGCATCATGGAGTTGGAGAATTGCCACTGAGGAAGTATTCTAGCCATACTTCAGGAAAGATTCTCCTCGTGGGAGTACTTCTCAGTGGAATTCTAAAATCCAGAAGATAATATCACCAAGAAAAACTTAAATCCTGTCAGCTGTTGGAAAAACTTATCCTACTAAAAACATACTCCCAAATTCCTTTGATTAGCCACAGTCTTAGGAGTATGGGATTCAGAAAAAGCAATTTAGAGTTGAGGGAAGCAGTGCCCTACCTGGTTTAATTCAAAGCTAGCAGCTAGGATCAGATCATTGGGCTTACACTGCTGCTTATTATCAGTGGGCATGACCATACTGTTTGAGATCTCAGAATTGAATTCCTCATATTAATTTAGGTCTAGGACGTAAGAAAAATAGCTTTTCCTTTTTACCCTGGGTTTACTGTAAACTTTTAGTGTGCATGTTCTCCTTAAAGCACGGTTCACCTTCCATTTGAGGATTCTATGCCATAGGTTCAGCTTCTGCTCTCTAATGGGTGACAGATGAGCACTTTTAATGATCCTATAGCTCTCTTACTCCACCCCCTAATAAGCTTCCTGAGTGTTATGCAAATTACAGTGGAGAAACAAGATATTTGACAAAAAACATAAACTCTTATCAACAGAATTCTAGCCTAGTGCTTTGCTAATATAATTAATATTTAACTTGGATATAAAAATGCCAAGTAAAAACTGGGAAACGAAATTTATTTTTTAAAAAGTTCCTTTGGTTAAGTCCCCAGAATATCATATGTATAAAACTGGAAAAAGTTAAAATTGATTATGGTTGCACATTTATATTTGCTAAAAAGAATGCTAGTAAATACCATTGTATTTAGAAATGCTAAATCCAGCTAAGCTAGAAAGGCATTCATAAACTGCTAAGCCTTTTAGGAGCCTTTGTTAATATCCCAGGCATTCTGCTGCCACGTGAAATGATGTGCTAGTCTTGAATCAAGAGTCTCCCTTTTTCTTCACGCTGACATAAATAATGATCTTTGTTCTTTCAGTTCTGTGTTTGGTACTCTCGTGTACCAATTTACCCCACTTGGGAGACCCTATTTCATAATTTCCTGAGCAAAAGGTTTGGACTGTTGTTTGGGAATTTTTTTTATTCTTTCCTAACAAAATCTAATTAGAGAAAAGTGGAAAAGTGAAACCAGTTAAGCAAGAATTTGAGCAGAAGCTTCCAGCATTCAGATTTGTTGGGTGTCTTGCTGGAAACTTGAGAGTAAGGACGAGCATCACTTGTGTTCTATCTCACAAGTAGCATGTTGTACTTTTGCAGTGTGTCTGGATGTGATATCCTGCGAGTTAAAAAGTATGACTTTGACCAGCTGCCTTTAAAACTTCTGGAATGTTTTTTAAATGAATAAGAATTGTTAGTACACTGAAAATTTTGCTTTCACAGCGTGGAGCAGTAACATTTACATTTTGCATTCAGTGAACTTCTAATCTGAGAGAGACTGTACTTTTGGCTTAATGCAAGCTTTTGCCTCAGAATTTATTACTGCAGAGAATTAAAATTTATTACTCTCTTGAAAAGTAGTTGGTATTAATACTTTGTTTAATGGTATGCCTCATATTAATACTGTTGAATCTGACCCGGGATTTATCTATGTCTCTTGATTTCACTGGAGTATTGTCATCCTGTGGAATGTGGATAGACCAAGTATTAACCAGGTTTTTAGAGGGTGGGAAATAATGCATTTATCACATTTTATTTAATGTAGATTATGGTTAATAAGCTGGTATGTATTCTTAATGTTTATTTTGGCTAGAAATAATTACTACTTCCTCAATTTGATTTCAGAGAATGCCTGAACTATTAAATCATCCAAGTCTTCCCTATTTAAGAGACATATTCATATTTGGAAATCTTAAACTCTTTATAATTGTTTATTTTGAAAAATGTGGGTTAAAATTTATAGTCAAGGGTTTCCCTGGTGGTGCAGTGGTTGAGAGTCCGCCTGCTGATGCAGGGGACACGGGTTCGTGCCCCGGTCCGGGAGGATCCCACGTGCCGCGGAGCGGCTGGGCCTGCGCGTCCAGAGCCTGTGCTCCGCAGCGGGAGAGGCCGCAGCGGTGAGAGGCCCGCGTACCAGGGGAAAAAAAAAATTTGTAGTCAACTTACTAATTCATGTTAATTGACGAAAGTCTGATCTGAAAGAGAGTCCTCACAATGAACTGAGTATATAATGAAATACTGTTGTGTTCAAATAGGTATAAAAAATGAAATGAGGCTAAAAAATAAAAATATAAAGGTCTTTAATTTGGATATCAAAGGCATAATCGTGGTCTTCTAGAAATTTATAACATAGTTGAGAAATGAAAAAGTTACCTGACATTTGACATGTAAGGTGCTTTCACATAGTACCTTATGTGATGTTTACCACAACCCTGTCAGGAAAGAATTTTTATCCTTATTTTAATGATGAGGAAACTGGACTTGCCCAAGCTTAAATAACCAGTGTCCTAATTAACAACTTGCGTTAATGCAAAGAAAGTCTTAATTTTAATTGGAAGAAAAATTTTTCTTTAATAATTTCTGAAGAGGCAAACTTTTGTTCTGTTTTTCCTAATGTGTTTAGGTGGCAGAATTTCAATAATGAGAGACGTTCTTTAAAACTAATCATTTTTATGATATAGCTGCTAATAAAGAGTTCTCTCGGGCTCTTTGAACACTAATAGATGTGTAGCTGTCAAATGAAATTAAAATTTTGCATGTATAAACATTGGCAGAGCCCTAAGATGATCTTAAGTTGGTTTCGCTTGGCATTGTTTCATAGTTGCTATTCTACTCTTTGTTTCTGGCTTTATTTAACAATTTTAATCTTTTACACTAAAAAATGTAATTCCATTCCCCTAGAAGCACTTTGGTGATCCAGCATATTTAAAAGACATTGTGTCTGAATGATAGATTTTTTCCCCCTGGTATTAATTTAGGAGGGCGGAAGTCTACCAATTCTAAGAGCAGAGACTGAGAAATCTCAATCATAGGAGAAGCTTTTATGGTTGGGAGGATGCACTGAAGAGGGCAGACCAGAGTGGGGAATTTGAACTACTGCTGTCACCTAGCATCTAACTCAAGTCGGGGTACCTAGAAGATGCTTGATAGCTAGACTTTGATTGAATTACATTCTCTTATTTTAAAATCTCAAAAAAACCCTAACTTTTGAAGTTTTGCATATTGTCAGGTTAGTTCATAATCAGTATACATTTAATTCTAATACTATTTCCCATTAAAAACATGAAGAGATCAAATTCAAAGTAGAAGTGACATTTGCCACTTTTACACTGTAAGATCTTTTAAACATGTAATAACATTTTTAATATTGTATACTTTATAAAATATAATATTTTTAAAAATAAAAGTTACAGTATATTGCATCCAGTGCATCATTATAGTGTTGCTAAAATTTAATGATTCTTTTGGACCACAGAAAATTATTTTTGCTTAAATTTATGGGGAACACAGTGAAATTCCACTTTACAATTCTGGTACCACTTGCATGTGTATAGAGATCTGTTGTCAGTGTTTTCATTTTAAACTGTAATCTATATTTCTACATTTTAATGACATTTTAATCTTAATTGCAGATAAAACTCAGAGGAAATTTGCACAGATGCTGCTTTGGAGAACTTTACAACCTGGGTTGCAGAACTGAGCCTTGGTAAACCTGTCTCTATTACAGCATGTTGCCATACATCTAATTAAGTGCATAAGGTCTTTGGCCTTCAAGATCCATTGACCTTAAACAGGAATGCTTAGCACGTTTACCATATGTTTAAAATCTGTTCTTTATCAATCAGTCCTTTTGTAGCTTTCTAAGTTCTTATTGATGGCTAATATGCAAGAATTAATTTTTAATATTTTAATTGATTTCTTTAATCAGTTTCTCAACTTGTATTTATTAAATACTCAAACTCAGTATTACCTACTCAATGCCTTTTAAAAGAAAGTTATAATGGAGAAAAAATTGAGCCTTAAACAAATGGTTACTTCTGTATATTACCTCGCACCAGTGCTTCATTCTATTTGTAAAATCTTTCTCCTTTAAATGGTTGGTTAATACTTTGAGCCTTTGTTTACGTGTGGCAGTGTTGTAAAAAGAAACTAAAGATCACATTTTACCTGTATGGATGGAATATCCCTTTTCTTCAAGTGCAGTTTGTGATGTGTTTTTGTAATTAAAATGTTCTGAAAGTTACAATTGATATTTGAAATTGACTGTAGAGCATTTAGCTGAAGAGTTAAGCGGTTTGATTCCATTAGGTTTTCACATGTGTTAATCTCATTTACAGCATCAAATTGCAGCAGTAACATTTTCCTTTCTGTGAAGTTCTAAATTTAGTTATGACCTACTTAGCAATGCCTTTGAAGAGGGATATTGTATCCATGGTAAATTAATTGTATACCTAAACAGAGATAGCTCAGCTTTGCCTGTCAGGCTTGTAATTGACATCTAGTAGACTTCTGCACATGTAAAATTAAATTCAAATAAAATCATATACAGTTTCTAGTTCTTAATATTTGTCTTTCTGAGTAATAGTTTAAAGCAATATTTGTTAAAGTTTTCTTGCACTATCACAATTGCTTTTTAGTTATTTCTCAAGAAGCATGTTTGTAGTAGAGACAAAAATCTGTGTAACAGGGGGGAGGATAGCGCCAAGTCTCTGGGCGTTTTGTTTTTGTTTTTGTTGTTTTTTGCAAATGTGCTTCTAATAGCCATTGCCTTCCATGTTGTTTACCTAATCAGCACATTTTGTCTGAATACTTGAACATTTTAACAGTAACACAGGTATAGAAGCAGAAGGAAAACTTATAAAGAGTAATCTTGTGGTTCAGTTTTAACATCATGACGAGCGCTTTTTCTAGCAATGATTTAAAAATTTTGTAAGTTTGACAGTATTTTGTTGTTGGGTTTTTATTTGGTTTTAGTTGTGTGCTTTTAATTTGCAGAAGTTAATAACTGCAGCTCACCTACTGCACCAAAGTTCTCGATTTTAGGAGCCCAGCTTTAGTCATTTGAACATGCTTCTAAATAAAACAAAACAAAAAAAACCAAAACTATACTTTTGATCTATAATAATAGCTCAATAACTTTGTCAAGGGAAGCTCTAATATATGCAGTGATGATTTTTGGAAGGGTGTGGCAATTTTAAATTTATATTGTGTGTGATGTTCAAATAAAGTGTTATCTACATTCATGGGATTTATTGGTCAGCATGACCATTAATTATTGCATAGAAATTAATTAAACTTTGATTTCCTTTTTTAAAATCGTGTTACATTTGATTCCTGATCAAATTCCCTCAAAGTGAACTCTTGATTTTAGATTTTGAATTTTATGGTGAGATTGTAAGGGTGGAGGCAATTGAAACTTTGTTTCTTATTTATAAACTGTTTGAAATGAATACCTAATTTAAGTTTGCACTTTAACACCAAACTTAAAACCAAACACTCAGTTCAAAGTAGGTTAGGTGATTGTGGTTCATCTTTATTAGCTTTGTGAAATTCTAAAGGAATCAAATAATTCATAATTTAAGTTTTCTGCAGATGGATTTTTTTTAATGCAGTGTTTCTTTCCTGTGGATAGTTCTCATTCTCTTGCTCTCTCTCGCTCTCTCTGTCACTGACCTCAGCAGCAAGTTTAACTTGAATTCACTTAGGATCACAGGAATCAGGGGAAAGTGATTTAAAGGTGGTTTCTCCAGCACATTTTAAGAAAAGGGACCAAAAGTTATTTTAGCTTCCTCAATAGATTGCATGTCAAGTTGCTTATTAGGATAATAAATTAATATTAAATGCAATATATGTCTCGTCTTTATTATGGCATCTGTTTAGGAGTTGTTCAAATCACTGCAGTAGGGCTCTGCAAATAAAATCTTTTAACCTATTATCATGGATCTAATGTACTGTAACTTTATCAATGAAAGGTAAAAAATCTCGAATAACAAGTACAAACATTGAACAATGACCTATAAAGATTTGTAAAAGTAAAATTTTTCCAATAGATTTCATTCTTGTCATTTTGTAAGACGACCCTGCAGTCCACCTGTTTGTAACTTTTTTAATAAAATAGACATCTGTATTACTGAGGTTGTTTTCTTGAATTATTTGGTGTATTACTACTTGTTATTTGCTAGCTTGTAAATCTCATAACTCAAAGTCATTACTTTTTATCAAAATGATAATGTGTATTGCAGTACATGTTTAAACAAGTTAAACGTTCACTTGTGTCCTTAGTCACCATTCTGGCATATATGGGGAAAAACTGAGATAAATCCTAAAATGTAATATTTAATCAATTGAATAACTTATAAATAAATTAGAAATTAGAAATAATGGGTAAAAAAGTATAATGTATATGACTTGTCCCAAATGGAGAAAGTGGCCCAGCTACAAATCTGGCTGGGAATTGTCCATGTGTAGGACTTTCCAGATGATATTAAGCAATATAATTAAATTCTGAAATAATGAATTAAGAAAATTCAACACAATTATCACTTTGTTTTATCCAGTGAAAGGTTTTGCCAATCACTTTAACTCACTGCTTAACCTAGTGTTTTTAAATTGTTGAACTGAATAGATGTTTTAATCTCAATGTTCTTTAAAGCCACATGTTTTCTTTGAAGTTGGACAGTTTGTCCAAATATATTATGAACTGGATTTTTTAATTGTAAAAATGGGCAGATTTATATACCTGTGTCATAACATACAGAAGATATTTTGTTGTTTATTACCATTGATTATCAGTCTTTAGTTGGGCTCTAAATACCCCATATATGCCGTACTAGATGCTGTCCTTCAATTCCAAAAGCCCTTTTCTACAAGGAAGGCTCCGTGACTTCAGAGCCCTCCGCCTTTTTTTCTACTGAAGGAATAGCATCCCTCATCCAGCAAGGTCAACATTTTTAACCAAGTGAATAACAGAGAGGATGGAGTAGGGCAAATGCCTAATGAGCCATATCAGTAGGGTACTCTGTCACAGCCAGGTCACCTTTATATCTTCACCTTTTCTGCCCTTTTCATGTTCTCATCTGGGGAGAAGATTCATCCTCCAGGACGTAGCCGCTTGTGTGGGTCAATATCCAAAGCTGTAAGACTTCTCGTTCAGATTTAAAACAGGGACAGTTTTTCAGATAGGCTCCTGCTTTCACATATATTTATCTCATTTGAACCTTACAGCTATCTGGTGTTTTGGACTTTATTGTCCCCAATTTGTTGTTGATGAAACCAAAGCTCAGGAAAGTTGTGACTTAAGATCATAAAGGCAAAGTCAAATGATTAAAATGTTGAGGAGGGTACTTTGGGACAAGTCTTAAAATTAATTCATCATTGGGTAGTGTCAAATATGTGCTGTTAAAATTATAAGTTCATGGAAACAACACAAAAGACACACAGCAAGAAATAACTGTTTTGAGTCGGTGTGACAGTTCATATGTAACAAAATACTACGGGTCCTATTTAAAGGTAATGTGTTTGTTATATTGCTAAGAGTTTATGTAAGACATAAGCTATTTTCATTATAGCTATTTTTCTTTGGAAAGTCAATGTCTTAAATCAGAATTTGGCAGTCTTTGGCCGCCAGGCAGAATCCACCCCAGTTAGCAGTGCCAAAAGAACTATAGTTAGATTTAGCAGCTGTATCCTGAATCCATTGCAGAGCTCAGCTGCACCCTTTTTCTACCTAAACTTAGCGTTTGAATGGAGGACCAGAAGTGCAGTTGATCCCAGACACATCCTTTGTCAGCAAACAAACCTACTTCAGTGCTTAGGCGTTGCTCTCTATGGCCCAGGCTGCCCCATTCACAAACTCAATGGTCCTGTCATTGTACAGGACCCATTCATAAATTTTCTCCCATAGACTGTGAGCTCCTTGAAGGTAGGGCCTTGCCTAAGTCACTTCTTACCTCTAGTGTGTTATAGGTGCTCAATACATATTTTATGAAATTATAATCACAGAACCAGTATGGCAGATGGGTGTTCACTCTTCAGAAAACTCTAACCCTGCCATTTCCTACTGGTCATTTTCATTTATAGCAGGTAGTATGGGAAATGCATTTTCTTCCTCCACCTTCCTGCATCCTCTGCAGCACTAAGTTGATTTTTTTGTTTTGCTCCTTTGTTTTGCTTTCTGTTTTTGTTTATGAGAGAAGTAATTGTTTACAAACTCATTTTCAAGAGAAATGTATACCATAAAGAGATGGTCCATACAGGCATACCGTAAATATGGACGGAAGGGCCTTGAGTCTAAGATTAAATTCCCCCAGAATCTAGGGAGGAGACTACAGTCAAGAAAGAGTATTTGCTGCTCATGCCTGGATTTCCTCTCCAGTAGATTTCGAAGCTGACCCAGACCTGTCCCAGCCTCATTCTTAGACAAGTCAGAGAAATGTTCATATTGGGTCTCCCAACCTCTCAAATATTTCCCCTTAATGAGGCAATGATTCCCATTCTCTCTGCAAAATCGCAGGCAATTCCCCACCTACACCCCTACAGTCATGTCCTTGGCCTTTCCTTTAATCCTTGTCCCCATTCCTTCATGGTACCTACCAATTAACTTGTACCCCATGTAACCAAACTCCTACCCTGCCCCCTCCCTTCTTTCCATAAGACAGTTTTATGAGTAATAAAACTAATGGAAGTAAAGATTTTTTACTCTGGTTCCCCCAACACCAAGATTCAGTCTCCAAATCCTTTGACACCAGTAGTTGGAGACATTTTCAGGTTGGCCTTAAACCAGTGTCAGGTTATCCCCCAGATGTTAGTCCCATGTATGTGCTTTAATATCAATGATCTGTGCAGTCTGCCGTGTAACCAGAGACTCCCAGATGCCCCAGAAAGCCCTCCAGGAATTGGCTCCTGAGGCTCTAGATACTTTTACTCATGCTGTAAGCCTCAGAGAATGCCCTGGACTTAGTAGTTTGAAGCTCCTACCAGCTGCTGTAAGCTTTAAAGTTTGGAAGGGGGATGTGAGGGAGCGAGGGGCTTAAGCCCATCTGAACTTTCTCTTGGACCTTGAAAGTGGACAGGTGTGAAGTCTATAATTAAGAAATGTAAGGATCTCTGGGGGTTCTGACCCTTCAGTAAATCCCAGTTTGGGGGTTCATTGTTTAGGAGGGAGCCTCAGGAATCCGTTATACAAGTGGGCATCGTTTTCTCTGGTTTCCTGCAGTCCCTCTTTGGAACACTTGCATGGTTACCCTTAGAAAAATCCCAACCAAAGCATAGACATTATGCCATGCCCCCAGGATATCTCTACAAGTGTTTTGGCCCTTTGCTCAGGCCCCAAAATATATAGAAGTAGATGGGGGGGTGTGGACATTTAAATGGAAAATGCAAGGCTTTATCATGCTGCTTGGTTACAAGCTGAGTCTGGTGGATGCTTGAGTCTTCTGACCACTGTGGCATGGCAATCGAAGCCCTTGTTCTCTAACCCAAGAGAAGTCTGAGCTGCAGGCCTTTGGCTCTCCAGCTGGCTAAAAAGAATATTTTCAGTGACCGAGGTATGGAAATCTGACCCAGAAAAGAGTGATATCCATTTGACAGTAAATAGTTGCTCGGTGGGGAAGATGACTATTCCAGACAAAAAAGGGACAAGAAAATCAACACCTTTATTTAACTTCATTTAACTGAGCTCCTATGTATATGCCAGGCACTGTGCTATGAGCTGAGTTTACAAGAGGAATGTGATATGACCTTATCCTCTGGTGGAGCTTACATTCCAGCCTGGGAGACAGCCCTGCGAGCAATAATTATGAGGCAATATGCTGTATGCTCTAATATCATCATGTACCAGATGCCAGGGAGCCCAGAGAAGGGAAAGGATTTGTGTATCCAATATTTTCATCATAAGCATTTTTGCCACAAACATTTTTGCTGCATAACTGGCCGTAAGATAATTTTGCCATAAAAGATAAAAATAACGAAAAATAAAAGAGGGACATTGAGAAGGACATAATGAAACATGAAAAATAAATGACAGAATTAAAAGGACCACATTTTCACCACATAACTAATTGGCTGTAAGCAGTTTTGCCCTATAAGATAAAATAAGGAAAAATAAAAGAGGGACATTAAAGACAACATAATAAAGCATGAAAAATGAATAACAAAATTAAAAAGACTATTGCAAAATACAAAATACAAGAAAGCATTTTAAATGCGTGTAGATTCACGGCAATACTACAAAAGTAACTGATTTTATTTTGTGGGTTGTACGTTAAGTACTTGTCTTCCAAGTCTTCTGTTCATAGTATTTTTTCCTTGTTTTTAACTTGTTGATTCCTCTCCTCGTTTGGCATTGAACTTTTTCCTTTTTGCTAAAATGTCTTCCTTCATTAAGAGAGGTATCAATTTTCAAATGCTAGGATGCATATCCATAACAGAGCTCTGGGGACTTCCCTGGTGGTCCAGTGGCTAAGACTCCGCGCTCCCAATTCTGGGGGCCTGGGTTCGATCCTTGGTCGGGGAACTGGATCCCACGTGCTGCAACTAAGAGTTCGCATGCTGCAACTAAAGATACCGTGTGCTGCAACGAAGATCCTGCGTGCCACAGCTAAGACCTGGCGCAGCCAAATAAGTAAATAAATATTAAAAACAAAAACAAAACAAAACAGAGCTCCGTATTGTGTTGTGAAAGCCTCTACACTGGTGGGTGTTCTTGGCATGTTGTCATGTGTCCCTTGATAGACATTCCAAGGTTCTATGGGAAACTCAGGTTCAAGTCTGTGCCTTTGAGGCCCTTGGCCTCTTTCTCCTCCAATACAGTGTGTTTAAATAAGAAACTAACTCGGTGCAAATTATCATCCATCATCTGTCAGCTCCATAAAGCCATCAATAACATCACTAATTGGAGGAAATGCATTTCAACTAGTTGGAACCAAACTGTCAAACCAAAAACTGTCAACCAGTGTTTTTAATTTTTCAGGGCAAAATTGCCTTACAGCAAATTAGTTAAATGGCAAAAAATGCTTGTGGCAAAGATGCTTAGAGTGAACGTAACTGGAAGTGGGGTTTGTTCTCCCTGTAGGGGGTCAAGGGAAGGTCAAAAGAACTTGCCTTACGAGTTGGTTCTTGAAAGCTAAGGAGAAGT